CAGAACTGCTGGTTCCTGATGAGAAGCAAAGGCAGCACGGTACTTTCCTCATTTCTCAAAACTCAACAACGCAAAGAAAAAGCCTCTAAATCCCTACTGGATATTAATCATTTTGAGAAGACCAAACTCGGAATAATAAATCTCAAGATTGTGCAAGAACACAATTTGACAGAGAGTTAATTTGTGAAGAAATTATACAGATCATTTTCTCAACGTTCAACCAAAGATGTAAATAATAAAGAACACACAGAAAGATAAACAACTATTAACTCCTTTGTCTAATCCTCTCTTCCTCTCAGATTCGTTACACACAGAAGGCCAAGTGACGCAAAACCCAAGCACCGTGGAGTAAACAGCTGTTTCCTCTCCTAACAATGAGCAGCTTCTGGTGGAGGTGAATCACTGGGCACACGGACGCTGTCGTTGTGGAGGGTTTTTTTCTGGTATTTTAACTGAACTGGTACGATGTTGTTCTGACTGCAGTTAAAAACAACGATGGCAGAACTCTAACAAAAGCACATTTTCATGTTACTGTCAAGTTCCACCTGTGGGGTAAATATGAATGAACTTAACAGACGAGCTCCAGACAAATCACACCAACTCCAGCACAACGAGAAAATGTAAAAAATCTTGCAATTGGACTAAGAAACGTATGATATGCAAAGCTGTGTGCACCAGGACGTGCAGGAGGCTGCACCAGCTTGTGGTTAGAACTTTTTTTTTTAGTCTTCAGTTCAGCGTCATCGGTTCAGGTTTCATTTTGAGCAGTAAGGTGGAGGCAGGAAACCTCTGAATGACCGAGTTTTATTCTTGTTTCCCTTCAGAGCTCGACTGAAGAACTGTAAACAACACCAGGCTGCGGCAGAAATGACTGTGAGTTAAAGACCATTTTCTTCTAAAAAAGGGACCCTGAGAGTCGAGGCCGTGATTGGATTGAACTCCGTCACCATCCCTGATTTGTAGCCGTCACTGGAAGTAATTACCTCATTAGCGGCCTGTTCAGAACAGAGAGTGACTTGTCCATTATCAGTTTAGTTAACGGGTCCTGGTCGAAACGAATGTCATTACCATCAGTGGAAAAACCCAATTAGGATGACAGTTGGAGAACAGGCAAACATTTGAAATATTCAAATGTGTGTGGCATTACAAAAGACAAAAACACCAGACCAAGTCACTGTGACAGACACGATGATAAAAATGCTAAATATACATTCCTAAACACACAAAGGACAACGTTTCTCCAGAACCAAGAACTGTTCTATTCTTGTATCAAATTTCACTTCTCTCTGACACCGGTGTGTCAGGCTCCAATTGTAAAACACCAACATGGCCTAAACCACGTCACCGTGAAGCAGCTCGTAATGATGATGAGCCACTGAAATGTTAATGAACTAAAAATCTGCCAGACCACCAGGCGACTGTGGCTCAGTTCCTCCTCCTCCTCCTCTTCCTCCTCCACCGCCGCCCTGCCATTAAAGATGGATGGCGTCTTTTCACTGAGGTGTCGGCTCTATCTCCCATCTGTGACGTTCTGTTTCTATTACAGGCTGCGAAGACGTAACGGTGATGGTGCTGATGAGCGGTTAGCGCAGAGCCAAGACATCTGACAGGTGCTCAACATGTGATCACACACAGCACGACCTTCAGCGATGACGTGAGGAAATGATCGGAACTCTGGGATGGGATTTGATTTGAAGCAGTGACGTCCTTAGTGGATATGATTCTGGTTGAAGCAGTGACGTCCTTAGTGGATATCATTCTGGTTTGAGCTCTCTCTGTCTCTCTCTCTCTCTCTCAATATACATACAGTACATATATACATACATGTACTGTACATATAGATATATATGTATATAGAGAATGTCTTTAATAACATATACACACACACTGAAACCGAAACTCACGTCTGACACATTAACAATATCATCAACTCTGATGATGTCATCACAGTGAACTAAGGAATCTCAAACTGATTAACTGATTAACAGTATGTAAATACTCAGTGGCGATCACGTGACTTACAGATGGGAAACACATTGGTTTTATGATGTTTCCCACAGACTGAGAGTATCACCTATGAACATCAGGTCCGTCTGTATGAAGGACTGGACTTTGCACAAAACCGTGAAGAAGGAAAACAACAGCATGGCGTTATCATGTGAACAAGAAGATAGTACTGCAGTCCTACTGTTGGGTGGGTGGGGGTGGAACTGGAAAATACAGTTTTCAAACACTGTAACCTTTGTAACTGGAATTGATTTAACTTTTAGAGCAGGGGTCACCAACCAAGGGCCAGATTTTTTCGGGACAGACAATTTGGCAGCTGGACACTCAAATAAAAATCATAAAAAACACAAAAGTTATTATTTGATGTTTTTGACA